GCTGAAGTTGGTGTTCCCGTTGAACGAAGCGACCCGAGGAGCACATGTGCTGTCCGCAGCAGCTGTCCAAGAACCAGGTGTCTTTCCCAGACGGCTCGCTCTGGGCGATGGCTGCATACGTCGGGTTGGGCTCCAGTGATTCGCGGCAAGGAGTGCTCTCGTCGAGCTGTTTTTCTGGTGAGTAGTACGGTGGTGATCCGGTGATGCAGGAGTCTGTCGTTCTTGTCATGCAGCTCACGATGTTTCTTGTACCTTGTGCAGATTTTGTTGTCGATGTCGTTGAGGACTGTACTTGATTGGTGTGATGCGCCTGTGTAGAAGCCACTTGATTGCTTGAGGGCCGAAGTTGACGCTGCGGCGTTGTTGACTGCTGCTGATTCGGGCAGTGAGTGCGAGGGTGTCTTGACGTCTTGCAGAGATGGCAGAACGGTGGTACGTATTGTTGAGCCTGATGTTTATTTTGTCGATTGTTGTTGCTGTTGTAACGTCGTTGAGTGTGAAACGCAAACTCAGGTGCTGACGCTCTTTTCTTGTGTCGTTCTTCATGTAGATCCATGTCCTGCTGCTCAGCATGTATCTCAGTGCAGAGGGCTGCTTCGGAGATCTTTCCGTGGGCTCGGAGAATGGCTCGAGTGGAGCGCCAATGAGGACCGAGGCCAGTGATGACGACTGTAACGAAGGCTTCTTCAGATATCGATCCACCGCATCGAATGAGTCTATCGCGTAGTTCGCGACAACGGCTAATATAAGCCATTCCCTTTTCGCCTGGTTTCATTTCCACTGTTGTCAATTGTGCCATAAGGCGACTCTGATTAACGCTGTCTGTTGCCTGATACATATTTCTTCATGTGGTTGTACGCGAGCTCGGCGGAGTTGCCGTATCTACGATAGGACCGGATGTTCTGCTTCTCGTTTGGCATTATATTTCGTAGAAGTATCGTGTACGCCATCAGCAACTGATATGTGTACTGCTGCTTGTCGTATTGTGTCCTATGTGTTGGGTATGGCAGGGACCCGTCGAAGAATCCAAGAATTTGCGCGCCCTCCATCATCAGCTCGAACTCGAATGACTTGGTATAGAAGTCTCTCCCGTCGAAAGGCGTTGACGTTTGCAGTTTTAAAACATGTGCGAATTGGGACAGTATCTGAAGCGCGTCCAGTGTCTTCTCTTGTCCAGGTGAAGGCTGGTGTGGCATGAAGCTGATGGAGCCGCGTTGGGGCTCGTACGGAGCGAAAGTAGGTTGTTGCTGGTTTCGGCGCGCGTAGGATGAGCCGTCGAGACTCATGGGTGTGACATCGTTGTTGTTGTTGTTGCTGTTGTTTGATTGCGCAGGTGCTGTTTGCTGGTGTTTCTCGTAGAAGGACATGAAGGAGAAATTTTTCTCCATCATGCTTAGGTCGAAGCCTGTTGTTTGATTCGCGGGAGTTTCGGTAGACTCCGCAGCTGGTCTTGTTGCTGTGCCTTCCTTTGTCTGTAGATCAGAGGTTGGAGGTTGAGTAGGAGTAGTGCCAGGAGATCCGTTGGAGGAACTCCTCTCCTTCTGAGTTGCCATGCCTTGTGCTGTTGTAGGAGTTTGAGTAGTTGATCTTGCCTTGGAGGCTCTCATTGTTAGAATGGTCTAAGCTACTAGCGGAAGCTATAGTAGTCTTAGAACCTCCTCCTAAAGCCTAGGAATCTTAGGAGCCAACTTGGGCATGAACCATGCTAGAACCAAAGTGGTTACCAAGAAGTGAAGTTCCAACAAGAGAGAACCCTAACCTATAGGGTTTGGGAGGTGGCCCACTCTATAGAGTGTACACCACAAGTTCTCCCAACCCAACCAATGTATTCTACACTACTATAGTGTAGATGTATCACTACATATGTTTATTGGAGCAACCCAAATTAACCTTAATTCCAACACCCCCCCTTGCTCCAATAAGCATTAAAGTTCACCCATAAATCAAAACACAACCCCTCCAGCGAATGAAGCCCTGGCCTTCGCAGCCATCATTCGCATGCCGATGCGCTCCAGGTTCTCATGCAGCTGCAAGCTTGGAAGAGCTTTGGTGAGCATGTCGGCATCCTGGAGGTGGGAGCGTACTGAGTGCACCTCGACCTCCTGCTGGCGCACCGCATCCCATACAAAGTGTCATGCCACCTTAATGTGCTTGGTGCGCTGATGGAGAACGGGATTGTGGGCAAGGGAGACAGCAGCCTCATTATCACAGAGCAATGGAATAGCCCCCCCATCCCCCACATGCATCTCTGCCAACAAACTCCTCAACCAAATGGCCTCCTTGGCCCCCTCCGATAGAGCTTTGTACTCAGCTTCAGAAACGCTTGCTGCAACACTGTCTTGCTTTTTGCTATACCAGCTGATTGCTCCTCCTCCCAGCTTAAAGATGTAGGCAGAGCGACTCTTGCCATCAGTCTCACCACCCCAATCCGAGTCTGTGTACCCAACAACCTGCTCACCACCTTGGCGCTCATACCTGATGACACGATCAGCTGTGTCGACCAAGTACCTGAGTGCTCTCAGTGCAGTGCGCATGTGAATGCGTCTTGGTGCCACGCAGGACTGTGCAAGGGTGTTGAGAGTGAAAGACATGTTAGGACGGGTGGTCACAGCAGCATACATCAAGCTGCCAATGAGACTCTGGTACACCTTGACATCAGCTGCAACACCTTCCTCAGTTGACCAAGTACCATTCCTGATCTTAGAGAGATCATTGGGTGACATTGGAGTATGCACCCTATGGGTCTCCTTCAGCAGATCACCAAACCTTCCCTGGAGACCACGGACATACTTCTCCTGACCAATCTCCAACCACCCATCCTTGACCGACCTGCGAACCTCCACACCAAGGTACGTGGATACCTCACCTAGATCCTTCATCTGGTACCTCTGAGCAAGCACCTCCTTGACCTGACCGATCAGCTCCAAGCGTGGAGACACAAGCAAGAGGTCATCCACATACACCAATACATACACTAGCTCTTCATCCACAAACCTGATGTACAGAGCCTCATCACATGCACTGCGGTCAAACCCTGCTGCAATCAGGGTGGTACCAATCTCCTCATTCCAAGCACGAGGCGCTTGCTTGAGCCCATAGAGAGCTTTGCGCAAGCGATACACCCTACCTGTACCATCATCAAATCCCTCAGGTTGCCTCACATACACCTTCTCTTGAAGGACTGCATTGAGGTAAGCATGATCAACATCCTCCTGTTGTACATGCCACCCTTTTACCGCGGCTTCTGCAAGAAGCACCCGACCTGAGATGAGCTTGCCCACAGGGGCAAATACCTGATCATAGTCCTTCTCGGGCTCCTGAGTGTACCCCTTAGCAAAAAGGCGAACCTTGTGCTGTACCACCTTATCCTCCTTGTCAGTTTTCCTGCGGAAAACGTACCTGACCCCAATGGCCTTCTTACCTGGAGGTAAGTCGACCGGCTCTGGATCCCGTACACCCATAGTGCGCATTGCATTTACCTCCTTCTCAGCGCCTGTCTTCCACGCAGGGCCCTCAGGGCCACGCAGGGCCTCAGCGAGTGTGCGTGGGACATCACCGGTGCTCACACCTGCCAGTGCAACACCTTCCACCTCCCTGGCCAAACACAGCATGCCCTCAACCACACCAGCATCCCCCCCTACCTCCTCACCACCTGTACCAGACTGGATACCAAGCACCTGCAAACCTGTAACCGGTGGTGGGGAGGTAGTCGCTGGTGACGGAGGGGCACCCGTAGAGAGAGGGATAGAGTGCTGACCAGAGGAGGAGGAAGAGGAAGTAGCCTGTGTAGCGGATCTCCGCTGAATGACCGAGGGGCCACTGAGCTGCTGCAGAGGGGTGGGCTGCTGCTGCACCGACACACTCAGCGGTGCCGATGGCAGTGATGAAGGTGGCATCTCAACGTCGTCAGCCGGTGCTGAGGGTGGCGAGAGTGGAAGAGGGAGGAGTTGGGAAATCGCAGCTGCATCCTGCAGAAGCTCCCCAAATCCCTTTGCCTTGTCCCAATCCTTCCACATCACATTCTCAAGAAAATCAACATCCCGAGCAATGCGAATGCGCATGAGAGAAGGGTCCAGCATGCGGCAACCCTTGCTCTCCATGTCCACCCCAACACAGACACACATGACAGCCCGTGCATCAAGCTTGCCACCCTTCTCATGCCCATGCAGCATGACACTCCCCATGCAACCCCAAATCCGAGCCATGCCCACATGCGGCTTCTGGCCGGACCACGCCTCCATTGGTGTGATGGTGGCAGGCAAAGCACTGTGGGTGACCCTATTCTTAACCCACACGACCCACATCAATGCTTCACCCCACAAGCGAGCAGGGAGATCACTGTCGACCAACAATGTGCGAATCCCCTCTGCCATCGTCCTGTGCCACCTCTCCACGACCCCATTCTGCTGCGGTGTATCTGCGACACTCAATTGGGTTTTGATGCCAAACTCCGCTTTCCATGCTTTCACAGCGTCCCCCAAGAACTCGCCACCCCTGTCGGAGCGAACAGCCTTCAGCTTCCGCCCACACTCCAACTCCACGTCCTTATGCCACTGGCAAATAACTTTTGCGACTGTGGCCGATTCCTTGTTGGGGAGTGGGAACGACCAAACTCGTCTGGTGAAGTCGTCAATAGGCATGAGCAAAGGGCGAACTCGAACATGTTCGAGTTCGCCCACCCTCGAACATGTACTTTTGCCGAACCGAACACTGTTTGGTTCGGCGAACTATTTAGCTGAAAGTTTGTGTTCGCCGTTCGCCCTATGTGGCAAACGATTTTTTTCAGCAGGCGAACACGAACATGTTCGAGACGAACATGTTCGTGTTCGCCCTGGGGAAAATTCACTATAGTCACACATGTCAGAAAACAGTTTTCAAGGTTCAGGATGATAGCAAAATCTGTGCAGGGTGTATATGTGTGCATGCAACGAACCCAATAGTACAACATCACATACTGTGAAGGGAAATGTCAAAGTCTAACAAATTCCTACACTAAGTGACTAAGGCGCCACTGCACTGCTACTACCAACAACAGCATCCTCTCCACCAGCTGTGTAGTCAGCCTCCACACCCTCCTCTTCCTCCTCCTCGTCATCCTCCTCTGCCCCCTCGCCCTCAATGGCGAACTCTGGTGGTGCGACGCCTCTCGGTCGGCGGCCCTCGCCTATCCTCTGGCCAGGGTGTGAACTGTACCATGATCTGAGAATCATGACAGCTCGCGTCCTCTGAGAGGCCAGGCGGTGCCGCTTCCAGGAAACGAGGTTGCGACCAAGGGAGAACACCCGCTCACTCGAAGCGGACGTGGCAGGGATGGCGAGATAATCCCGGGCCATGCGCCTCAGCGTCTGCATGTTGGTGGCACTGCGCCAGTACTCAAGCGCTGTCACGTCGCACCGCACCCTCTCGGACAAGTACCTGCTAACCTCGTCGTCCTGCACCATCCCACCCGCCCCCGCATCCTGGCTCGCCGACAGACGCGCCGCAAGTCGTCGGCGACTAGGGAGAAACTGCGCGTCATCTTCGTCCTCCTCCTCCGCAACGGGGGCAAGTGGGGTCGGCCGTGGAGCAAGCTCTGCAGCCCGGGCCTGGTACTCGGCCACGCGGTCGCGCACCAGCTTGATCACCTCGCCAGACGCCGGACGCGGCCTCACCCTCCTGTCGGTCTCGGGATGCAGCTTCTCCCAGTGCGCGTCGTCGAACCACGCCGCCTTCATGGAAGGGTCCAAGAAGGTGGCGATCCAGTACTCGTTGCTGGTGATGTACGCGTACTTCTTCAAGTGGCTCAGCGCCGTCACGATCATCGGCTGCAGCGTCGGAGATGGCCCCTTGGCAAGGCGCGACTCCATGGCGTCGATCAGGCCGTTGTAGTACGGCACCACCATCGACACAGTCGGGTACGCCGCCCCCTCTGCTGCCTTGGAGACCTTGGCGAAGGGGCTTAGGAACGTCTTCGCCGCCTGCAGGGTCTCCCAGTCTGCGTCTGTCAGGCGCAAACTCTCCACCTTCTTCTTGTCGGTCTTCGACAAGCCCTGTCGGGTAGAGGGAATGGTTTGGGGGGAGGTATGAGGGAAACTGTGATTATGGAGGAGGATTATGGCATCCGGCCGGCAACATACAAGCATGACCAACAGTATTGTGTAGACGTGCTAACACACCACACCATGACATAACCACATACTACAACCCACACAAAACACAAGTGTTACCTGTGTCTGGGCGAAGAAGACAGTGATGGGGTTCTGCAGAACACCCGCACGCTCGACCATGTCGTGGGTCGACCCCCAGCGCGTAGGACTGTCCTGCACCAGCTTCAACGCCGGCTTCGGCGTGGCGGGGTTGGCCTGCGAGTTCAAGGTCCGCTGTAGGCCCAAGAAAGACCCCGAGCGCTGTGGAGAGAAGCCAATCCACGACGCCATCTCTCTCAGTATCTTCAGCAACTTCCGTATGGAATCCACAGCCAGTGCTGCCTGCACTGCAAGGTTTATCACGTGTGCCAAGCACCTGCGCACGGAACACAACATTGGGAAAAAGATAAGGGGAAGTTGGAGGACACATTGTTAGAGTGAGCCACAAACCCATACCAGACCCCACACACCCTACAACTCGAACCGCACCGGCCCACCCCTCCATACAACTACAAATTGGAGGAGCTGGAACGACAGACCACAAAGGCAAACACACGCCCACACTCCCACACACCCAACCCACGCACACTCCCACACTCACCGGAAGTGCATGCGCGAGTTGAAGAAGCACTGACCACCACCCTCCTCCGACATCCGCCTGAAGGCGGCAATGTTGCTAGAGGCGTTGTCTGTCGTGAAACCAAGACAACGCCCCTCCAACCCCCACTGCACAATCGTCTCCTCAACCACCTGCGCCATCTCCCTGCCCCCATGCCGCCCGAGCATCTCATGGAACTCAAGCACCATTGTGCGCAGCTGGAAGTTCTCGTCTATCCAGTGACCAATCACCACTAGCCATGCCTTGTTGTTGGGTGCCGTCCACATGTCGATGGTGATCGACACCTTGCACCCCAACTCCCCCTCAATGGTGGACTGGAGAGCTGCTGTTGCATAGACCACAGTGTCGCGGGATACCGTCCACCGCGAGGGGATGAAGTTCTTCTGTGCGCAGTTGCGGTTTAGCAGGATCAATAGCTCCCGAAACTGGAGGAGGGTAGAGTAGAGACAACTGTGAATGGTGGATATCCGAATGGTGGACATGTGAATGGTGGACATGTGAATGGTGGACATGTGAATGATGGACATGTGAATGATGGACTGGTGAATGGTGGACATGTGAATGGTAGACATGTGAGTGAATGGTGGACATGTGAATGGTGGTGGACATGTGAATGGTGGACATGTGAATGGTGGACATGTGAATGGTGGATTACAATAGAAGCATGAAATAGTCAACCACATACTGCCAAAACACCAGGCATGGGACACTCACGGCCTCGGACTCGACGATGCGGAAGGGGAGGTCGCAGGTGACCACCAGCTTGGCGATCGCCTGCCGTAGCTCCTCCGTGGACAGCTTGGTTGTCATGAACCGCTCCATCCCGCCTGACCCCCGAGCTCCACCGGACGCCGTCCCTTTCTTCTTGGCGAGATGCGGCCAAGACTTGGCATGCGGCCACCCATCGACGTAGCCATCCGGCACACCCTTGTAGCCCCCACGAGGAAACGTCTCCCCAGGCAAGTGAACGGACGGAGTGTGGTAACGGTGATGCCACACGTGCATGTGCGCTGTGTGGTAGCTCTCGAAGTGCCGCTCGCCGGGTGTTGTGGTGGATTGCTTCCACGAAATCCTGTCAGTGCAAATCTTGCACTGACGCTTCTCGTCTGCACCTTTAGGCCCGAACATCTGTACTTGCCACCCCGGTTTCTTATTACCCTTGCCAGTCCCCTTACTACTCTCGGACCCTCCGTCCTCGTCTAGGAACTCCGGAGCGACCACACCCTCGCCCAAGGGCTTCCCAGTGAATGTGCAGGGATATGCTCGCTCCCTCAACTTGCTCGCCCTCTTCCTCCGCTTCGGCATCCTAATGGATGCCCGCTTTATCCCCACCTTAACCCCCACGCTCCCTCCTCCTTCAGCCACATGCTGTGAGGCCGCCTCTGTCGCCGCCCCTCCACCACCCTCTCCCACCCCCTCCTCCACCTCCTCTGGCTCCAACCCATCCATCTCGTGGTCCTCCTCATCATCCCCCCCTTTCCCACCGCCATGCGTCTCGGGATCCCACCCGGCCTCACTGTCATCCCCGCTCCCCTCATCGTCCTCATCCTCCTCGCCCTCACCCTCCTCCTCCTCATCCTCCTCCCCACTCCCACTCTCTGGCTGCGTCTGCCCAGAAGGAGGGGGTCGTGGGCCTGAGTAACGGAACGAGTGACGGGACGTCGGCGCCGCTACGGAAAGAAACCCCCCGACGAAACAAGCGCCGGCTCCTGCAGGTCCATCCCCTACTCGCCCCTGCATAGGTTGTGGTGGAGAACCTGGTGTACCGCCCTGGGCGCTGCCTGCACCTCGTTCTACAGATCCATGTTGGCTGGAAGCCATAAATCCGCCCTCGGCCTTAAAACCCTAAAACCCCAAAGGAACGGTCGCAAGCCACGGATAGCACGGTCCTAATTGAACTCCTAGTTACGTGTGGCACGGAGAAATGCCCGCCCCTACAACTAGAGAATTAACCTCTACGAAATTGATCCCGTAGCTACTACGAACTAACCCCTCGCGATTTCTGAAATTACCCTTCACTCACTACTACGAACTACTTAGTTGACATGTTCGTGTAATAGTTAGGAAACGGTGTGTGGTGGCTCTTAGGGATGAAGCCTATGGTGGTTGAGGGAGGGAGGGCTAACCAACAAACGCGTTTTGAGTTTGAGCTCAAAAAATGAGCTCAAACTCAAATTGGTCGCGACCTAAATTTGGTCGCGGCCAATTTTGACGCGAACACTTGAGTGTTCGCGTCAAGCCGAAAACGAACACGAACATGTTCGTGTTCGTCCACACTCCGCCAAATGGAGGTGGCGAACGGCGAACATGTTCGGCCGAACAACGAACATGTTCGCCACGAACTATTTTTTTCTAAAAAAAAAATAGTTCGGTTCGAGGCGAACCGAACAGGTGTTCGACATCTTGCTCATGTCTAGTCGTCAATGAGACTGAGGACATACACCGCTCCTCCCAGTGACGGTGTGCGCACTGGCCCCCACAAATCCATGTGGACCTCATCCAAAGGCCCAAGTGGCCGAGACGCCTCGTGGGGAAACGGCTTCCGAGCCGACTTTCCCAATAAGCAAGGTTCACATGGGGAGCAATCAGTGCTCCCCCCCCCAATCTCTAAGCCCAGTACACTGTTCCCCCGAGCCATCTGTTGCAATGTTGTGGGGGCGGTGTGACCAAGGCGGCGATGAGCAAGGGTCAATGGGGAAAATGAGGAGGAGGACCCAGCTGCAAGAGCACTGCCTTGTGTGCCCCGAGCAAGAGGAAGAGACATCCGCACCAATCCATGGTCCCTGCCCCTCTCCTTTTCTCCATTCGCCAACACCCTCTCCCCCCGTTTAAGAACACATTTCTTGCCCTTGAATGTGACAATGACATCTCGAGAGGAGAGGTGTGGGACTGACAGCAGACGCGTGTGCATCTCAGGCAAAAGGTGGACCTTTTGAATCCTCAGCAGCTGACCTCCAGCACCAACCACTGGCACCTCACCCATGCCAACAGCTTTCACCACCCGTCCATCTCCCAATCTAACTCCCCGAACCTCTGGTGGCTGAAGCTTACTTTTGAAGTCCGATGCATAAGGAGTAAAGTTGTGGCTGGCCCCACTGTCAATCCACCACCCCTCTCGCGGCTGCTCCTCTCCCACTGCTGCAACTGCCTCTCCAACCACTGCCTCTGCCTTGTCATCCTGCTCCTCCTTATCCGCCACCTGTGCCTTGCCGTTGGATCCACGACCCCCCCGCTTTAAGAATGCCGGAATGCCTCCCTTAGGTCGATGAGGACATCGCTGCCATGCATGTCCCTCATCCCAACAGCCATGACACAACCCCCGAGGAGCCATGGCCTTGGACCCCCAGGGGAAATCAAGCACTCCCGCTTTGCCTTTTCCTTGACCCCATCTACCCGAGTTGGTGTCACTGCTGCTACCGCTGCCTCCATGCTTTCCGCCCTTGTCCCCATTTCCCCTGCCGCTGCTGCCCACTTTCGTACCCGCTCCAAAAGTGGCTACACCATCCGATCTTGGTGCGACACCAATCCGCATCTCCTCGCTCCTCAAGGAGGTAAGCAGCTGATCCTTAGTAAGTGATGGTGATTGGTTGTTCAGCACTACCTTCAGCATCTCAAAGTGAGGATGTAGTCCTTTGAGTACCCTCATCATCCACTCCTCAACCTCCTCCTTCCCTCCTGCAGCCAAGTACTTGGACCTCAAGTCCTCGGCACGCGCCCAGTATGCAGCCACTCCCTCCCCTTCTTTCATCTTCAAGGAAGAGAGTTCCTCTGAGAGTGCCATCCGGTTACACAATCCACGCTGAAGGTAGAATTCCTTCACTCGTGTGTATGCCGCTGCTGTGCCTGCAGGAACTCGGGTGACCGCTCTTGCTCCGCCATCAACAGGTGCGTTTCCCAACTCGGTCTTGCCGCCGAACTCCCGTACCAAGCGAATCAACTCATCTGGCACCAAGGCATTGCAGAATTGGGCAAATGCCTTTTGATTTCTCCTCTCCCACTTTAGCCGTGCGTCACCCGATGCAGGCCGCTCCTCCGAACCATCAAAGTACCCCCATAGATCGTGTGCCTCTGCCCATTGCTCGAATCGGAAGCTCCGAGTCCAATAGTCGCTCCCGTCGAACTTTGACGCACTCTCCAGCTTCCCTTCGCCTGAGTCATGATCCATTTGCGGCAGGAGCACTGAAGATTGACGTTGAGGTGGTGGTGGAGGCAACGGCGGTGACGGTGAAGTTGATGCGGGCAGATTCACACCCTCTTGGTTATTAGAGCGTAAGCTCAAACGTCCGAATGATGAGCTGTTTAGCTCAGATGAATCCTTGCTCTGAGACCGTTCCGATGATGTATCGCGCTTCTGGATCCCGCGTCCGAGCTGGCCGCTTAAACTCGTCGAAGTTGGCCGATTTCCCGTCGACGAAGACTCGACCGTTTCTCCCGATTTTTGGCTTGTTGGATGCGCCCTAGCCTCCTCTGTCGGCGTCTGCCCTCCAATCGTTTTTCCGCGCTTTAAATCTTCCCCGATTCGCGATTTTCCAATTCGTCCGCCGACTGTATTTCGCGAATTGCGTCCGATCCGCTCGTTGATTGGTAACGACCTCGAGGCAATTTTTGTAGATCGTGCTGAGGCCTTTCCAACGGTATGCTGCACGTCTTGATCGGCCAAAGTTGACTGAGCGCCTCCGTGAATGGATGTCGCTCTTCTCGTCCTCCCCAACGGATCCGCACGATTTCCAGCAGTTTTCTTCTCTCTTCCTCCCCTCCCACGTCCAGAGTCCGCCACGGTGCAATTTTGGCAGCCCTTCGGGAGGGATGGAAGCTATTTAGCTTCCACCAAGGTGTTATGATCAAATTTCTTGAGTAGCTCCTATTCCAACAGATTGCTAGGCCAACCTCGCTCTGATACCATGTTAGAATGGTCTAAGCTACTAGCGGAAGCTATAGTAGTCTTAGAACCTCCTCCTAAAGCTTAGGAATCCTAGGAGCCAACTTGGGCATGAACCATGCTATAACCAAAGTGGTTACCAAGAAGTGAAGTTCCAACAAGAGAGAACCCTAACCTATAGGGTTTGGGAGGTGGCCCACTCTATAGAGTGTACACCACAAGTTCTTCCAACCCAACCAATGTATTCTACACTACTATAGTGTAGATGTATCACTACATATGTTTATTGGAGCTGTGAAAGGAACAACAGGAATGAATGAACTAGGAAAGTGTGAGATACAAATATGAAAGCTGTACCCCTTAGTGTCTACCCCACTACAGCCTACATAGGCTAAGGCATATATATCTGACACACCCCCATAGGCAAAGTGGGGGAGAACTAGGGGTCACAAGACCAGTCAAGCAAAGCAAAGCAAAGCAAGCTCAGGGTGGATCACAACGTCACCACACAGTCTGAGCACAGGTTCAAAGGCCACAAGGCCAGTTCACATGCAAGTTCATATATAAAGGTAAACAAGCAAGTACAGGTATATATAGATCACAGAACAAGCAAAGTCAAGAGGTAAGCAAGTGAGGCCAAGTAGGCACAAGACCTAGCATAGTACAGAAGCGCTGATGATCACAAGGCTGAAGTGCCTTGGTAAAGATATCAGCAGTGTTGGCCTGAGAGGCCACGTAAGCAAGGCGCAGCTAGCCACGCTGCTGCAGCTCACGAGCAAGGAAGTAGCGAAGAGCAATGTGCTTCGTTCTGTGCTCCAGTCTGTGCTCCCGACACAAGGCCAGCATGGCCTTGTTGTCTACGTACAGAACTGGAGGAGAACGAGGCGGCTCTCCCAGGTCAGTCAGCAAGTAGGTGAGCCAGCGTAACTCCTGTGCAGCCATGGCCCCTGCGTAGATCTCAGCCTCACAGCTGGAGCTGAGAACAGAAGACGAGCGGGTAGACCGCCACGAAACAGAGCCGGAACCAAGGCTGAAGGTGTAACCCTGTGACGACCGCTGCGTAGCCAGGTCGTCCACCCAAGACGCGTCTGCGTGACCAGTGAGGACCACTGGACTCCGCCCTCCAAGCACTAGCCCCAAGCCCGAAGTACTGCACAAGTAGCGCAACACCCTCTTCGCTGCAGCCATGTGCTCTGGTCGGTGTCTCCCAGGAGCAACATAGCGTGCCAGAATGCTCAGAGGGTATGCTAGGTCAGGTCGAGTGCAGGTCATCAGGTACATGAGGCCACTCGGCTCTACGGACTCATCCGAAGGCAGAGCTGAGAGCGAGTGGCGAGTAGACAGAGGAGTGGCCTGAGGCGAGGAGTACGTGAAGTCGAAGCGCTGAAGGACCTGCTGCACCATGTGTGACTGAGTCAGGGTGATGGTGCGCCGTGCTCTGTCCTGGGTGATCTGCAAGCCAAGATAGCTGCGCAGTTCACCCAGGTCTGTGCACGTGTGTATCTTCTGCAGCTCGGACTTCACGTGGGCGAGTCCAGTAGTGTCAGCTGTAGCAAACACCAAGTCGTCGACGTACACGAGGATGTAGAACGGCGGCAGTAAGGTGTCGGTGCGAAGAAACAGCGACGGGTCAGCAGTGGAAGGAGCAAACCCAAGAGCCGCAAGCGTAGTCCTCAATGTGTCGTGCCACTCACGTGGCGCCTGGCGGAGACCGTAGACTGGCCGCCGGAGGCTCCACTGGGTACCAGGAGGAAACGACCCAGTGAAGCCAGGTGGGCGGCGCAGCCAGATCTCCTCGTGCAGACTGCCCTGTAGGAGAGCAGTGCTGAAGTCAAGGGAGTGAAGCTCGTAGTCACGCTGAGCAGCAACGTGCAGCAGAACCCGAAGAGTGGTCATCTTCGGGGTCGGGGAGAAGGTCTGAAAGTAGTCAACTCCCTGCCGCTGACTGAAGCCTCGAGCCACGTAACGCGCCTTGAAGACAGGCGGAGAACCCGGCGGCCGCTTCACCCTGAAGATCCACATGCCACTGACGATGTTCGCCCCAGGTGGGGGAACCTCGTCGACGTAGGTGCCTTTGGACTTCCAGGAAGCCATCTCTGCGTCCATGGCTGCCTGCCACTGAGAGGAGTAAGGACCCTCTATCGCCTCTGCGTAAGAGCGCGGGGTCGGGATGTCTGGTGCATCCGGGTCTCCCTCAGGGGCAAGCAGCGTGGACACGAGATGAGGTAAAGCAGCAGCAAAACACTGGAACTCCTCCTGTCGGTCCTCAAGGACGTCCGTGCTAAGAGCACACTCACCCCCGACGGACGGAGGACAGACAGACGCAGACGCTGACTCAGCAACAAGACTAGCGGCGTAGTCTAGACGACAGTGAGCAGCGAAGTCGACAAGCTCGGTAACTAAGGCAGACGCAGCAGTGGACTCAAAGGAAGGGTCAGTGACAACAGTGGCTAGGAAACGCGTGACAGCAGGACTGGCAGCACGAAGGGAGTCAGACGACGGGTCAGCAAGAGCAGGAAGAGAGGACTCTGGAGGAGACGGCAAAGGGACACGCTGTGGCGCAGTGGAAGGACGCAGTGCCATCTAATGCGTGACCGGGACTGCAGGAGGACGCGGACGTCGAACACGACGACTAGTGCGAGCAGTACGAACAGGTGACGCAGGACGCGACTCAGGCTCACGACGCTCAGCAAGACCTCCAGTAGGACCAGCGTAGGGAGAAGGAGCAGGCAGAGGGGAGACCAGCTGTAACTGTGACTCGGACTAGACAGGCGGAGGACACTCTAAGGAAGGAGCAGGACTAGGATAAGGCGGAAGACCAAGAACCTGCTCAAGGAGCGGAACGAAGTACGGCCGCGGCCGCGCAGCACCTCCAGAACCAGCAAGGACAACACCAGTACCCCCAGCGTCAGCGCCAACTCCAGCAGCACCACCAGCTCCAGTACCTCCAGCAGCTCCAGCTCCAGCAGGACCACCAGCAGACACAGCCGCTCCGGCTCCAGTACCTCCAGTAGCACCCACTCCAGCAGCACCACCAGCTCCAGCTCCACCAGTAGCTCCAGCACCAGGAGCACCACAAGGCCCAGCAGCTACCTCGACAGGCTCGACTGCATCTACCTGGGACACACCTGAGGGGGCAGGACCCTGAGGGGGGAGGGGGTCTACCGGGGGGGGACCGGGAGCGAGGAAGAGCGGCGGGGGGGGGGGAGGGGGGCAGTGCGGTAGGGGAAGAGACGGTAGTACGGAACCGACTCGTCAAACGTGACGTCCTGGGAGGACAGAACACGACGCGAGGTGGGGTGGTAAAACTGCCGACCAGGCGCGTCAGGGGGAAAGCCGAGGAAGACGCAAGGAACAGCACGGGAGGACAGCTTGTCCGCAGACAAGTCTCGGACAAAAGCTCGAGATCCCCAGACACGGAACGCAGACGCATCACCAACCTTCCCCGTCCACCGCAGAGTAGGGGAGGTCTTCGGCAGGGAGACCCGGGGCTGAAGGTTGATCTGATGCGCCGCGTACTGAACCGCGAACGGCCACAGAAAATGGGGAGCAGCCGAATGGATCATGGACGTACGAGCGACATCCATGACCATGCCAATGCGGCGCTCAGCAATCCCATTTTGCTGTGGAGAGGCCGGAAGCGTGAACGTCTGGCGGATGCCCTCCGCACGACAGAAGGCTCGCAGAAGGTCAAAGGAAAACTCTCCGCCTCTATCGGAGTGCAGACGCAGAACAGGAAAGACCGAGCCGAAACGCTCTCTGAGCTGGAGACGAGCAACGCGGATCCAGTCGATCAACACCTCAGTGACCTCACCCTTGCTGCGCAAGGGGAAGACAGTGGTGTAACGCGAGTAGTCGTCAACCACCAGTAGGAAGTAACGCTCGTGACCCTGTCCACGGACGCGGGCTGGGCCCCACACGTCCATGTGAAGAGTCTGCAGCGGAGCCTCTGTCGGGGGAAACTCGGAGGAGTGAGGAGCGGCGCGCTGCCGCCCCTCGACGCAGGGAACGCAGGTAGGGGCAGGCCCCGGGGGAAGGGGAGGGAGGGACCGGGGGAGACCAGAGACAAGGACACGGGAGGCCATGCCTCGGAGACGAGGCAAGGAGGGGTGACCAAGGCGGTGGTGCCAGAGGAGGGTCTGGTGGGACAGGAGGCGACACGAGCAGGGGGCAGACTCAGGACCTGACCGAGACGCTGCAGCAAACACCTGACTCGACGCAGCTACCTGACCAGACGCAGCAACCGGAGGAGACTCTGTGGTCAGTGTGTACAGGCTCGACCCCGG